CTTCCCTCTGGCCACCTATGCCCCTGTGGTTTCAGCTGAGAGAGCTTATCATGAGCAGCTGTCAGTGTCTGAGATCACCAACTCCTGCTTTGAGCCAGCCAACCAGATGGTGAAGTGTGACCCTCGCCACGGCAAGTACATGGCCTGCTGCCTGCTGTACCGTGGGGACGTGGTGCCCAAGGATGTCAACGCCGCCATTGCCACCATCAAGACCAAGCGCAGCATCCAGTTTGTGGACTGGTGCCCCACAGGCTTCAAGGTGGGCATCAACTACCAGCCGCCCACAGTGGTGCCAGGAGGGGACCTGGCCAAGGTGCAGCGTGCCGTCTGCATGTTGAGCAACACCACAGCCATCGCCGAGGCCTGGGCTCGCCTGGACCACAAGTTTGACCTGATGTACGCCAAGCGCGCCTTCGTGCACTGGTATGTGGGTGAGGGCATGGAGGAAGGGGAGTTCTCCGAGGCGCGGGAAGACATGGCTGCTCTGGAGAAGGATTACGAGGAGGTGGGCCTGGACTCCTACGAGGATGAAGAGGAGGGCGAGGAGTAGAGAAGCTTCAGCCAAAAAGGACTGTGCTCCTTCCCCGTGTTACCTGCAGAAACCCTTTGCAATAAACCGTTTCAGAGCCTTCGTGTCTCCCACTATCCCCCCAGCTGTATCGGTTTCTTGCCAGGTCAGGTGTGTGGTGAGTGCTTCAGCCCTGCTGCTGGTGCTGCTATGCTTCCTCCCAGTGCTCTGCTCCAGTTCCAACTCCCCACATAGGTAAAAGCCCCATACCAGAGGGGTATGGCCACGACAAATGGCAGGTGGTGCCCAAGCATGTCCATCAAAGGGGTCCAGAGGAGTGCTGATGATGTGACAGGAAAAGCATCTCAGGCATGGGGTCTGAGAGTATCTCCGTGCTCTCCTTGTGCTGTTCTGCCAGTGCTCTGCCACCCCCAGGGCACATGGCCCCATTCTACCTGCCCCAGATCGTCTTCTGCCTTGTCCCCATTCTGAGTACTCTCACTGCCCTGACTGGTGGTAAGTATTCCCAGCGTCAGCTCCTGGCTCCAGCGACAAACTGGAGATTTCTGTTACCCATTATCCAGCACGCTGGTTCCAGAGATTAATTTTCCCTGCTTACCGCTAATGCTCCAGCTATATTGACCCACGAGGGCTGTCCTCCCTTGCCCTCCTCCTCCCGACATGCATCCATGTCAGCTGCAGGGAAGAGGGGGAGCTATCCACAGCTGCTGGAGCACAGCCAGGCACTCATCCCACTGTGCAGGGTTGCTGGCATGGCTCTGCATTGCCTGTGACCAGAGTGCCAGGCTCAGGCTGAGTGGTGCCTGCTGCTGTGCCAGGGCAGGAGTTGCTGCCCCTCACACCAGCTGCTGCTCTGATCCACTCCTTACAGAGGTCTGAGTGTGAGGAAAGGAAGGAATCTGCTTCTTCAGGAGTAATTCCATCTCAGACACCTCTCTGTGTCTTCACAGAGACCTGACTGTCTCTGTGTCACCAGAAGGACATAGGAGTTGGAATTGTGTCCTATTACCTTTTTCTAAAAGTTATCTCACAGCTTTGATCTGGACCCTGAGGACCACAGCAGTGTCTCCTGGCGTGCTACTGAGCAGCAGAGCCCCATCCATCCCCATGGGCAGGGAGGGGTATCTGTGTGAGCCCAGGCCCTGGCAGCAAGGACAGAGCCCTCTCCCTGCTGAGTCGGCATCCAAGGCTGGTGGTCCAGGCATCCTCAGCAGCAGGATCATCCCTGGCCCTGGCAAGGCTGGCTGTGCTGGCTGGGGCTCAAGCAGAGCTGCTGCTCTGAGTGTAGTCACAAGTTATTAACAGCAAGCGGGCTGCAATGACCTTTTTTTGGCAGCCCAGATTTGTTGTGCAGATCTGCAGCCTCACAGGGTTGTACAGCACTGCCTGTCTGTACCCACTGTGAGAAAAGGGCAAACCTTGGTTGGAAGCTCCCAGAATACTGATGGTGAAGGGAGGTCTGGGGCCACTCTGGGCTCCAAAGTCTGATGCGTGTCTCTATCATGGTTCTCCTCCTTTCTTCTGTTCTAGAGGCCCAGGTGGTCATGGGGTGTCCCCAGATCCCAGGGGGGAGCTGGTTGCAGAGCAAGTTAGGGGCTGGTCTACCTGCTCTGGCTCTGTGACGGTGGCTGA